TAGAATGATACAGATCAACAGGTGATTTTATATGTTCAAAATAAATAAACAAGAATTTACATCGTCTGTTGGAATTTACAACTGAAAAAAAATGACTTATACCTATAACTCAAAGAATCTAAAAGAATCTCATCCTACTTTTTTGCTACTTCAATAAGAGTTAAGAATGAAATAAAGTTTCATGCACTACTGGTTAGTGCCTGTCATCAAAATGCATGGCTTTTTGGTTTCCAAATGAGTCATTATTCACTTATCAGTGGTGATGAATGGTGTTTTCCCAAGAAAGCTTTATTTGTAGTCACCTTCATGGTAGTGAAAATGTATGTGCTTGTGTAACCATCAAAAGCAGCTGACTAACAAACATAAATGCCTTATGCTCTGGGTTTTTGGATAAAGGTTAAATGTACATTTCATGTTAAAAAAAAAAAAGTCCATACCCCAGATTTGACCAGTAACTTGCAGGTGAGGCACCCCACAACAGTTAGAGGAATCAGAAAGATATTTCAGTAGAGTGAAACAGCAGATGAGGTAATGATCTGAGCATATGAAAACAGGTCCAATCAAAACTTATTTCTGCCAGCCTGGCATGGCCACCAGACCCTTACATGTGCTTTTGGTTGTCCCTGTTGTGTCAACCTTTAAACTGGGAATTTTGTCCCATGTAATATGCATCTTTCTTGGTCAAAGGCAAAGTACATATTTTAGCTAGCTACACCTCTTTCTCGAGCCATTTACAATGGTGAATAATGTCTAATGTATTCAGAAGCAAACAATTCAAAACAGCATGTTTGGGCTACTAATCTTTTAGCATCTGTGATTTGTAAAGGAACGGCAACCATCAGAGTGGCTTGTGATGCTGTGCCTGAGTGATGCTTGATTTCAGTTCTCAACACTCCATTATTGCCTTAAAATCAAAGACAGCCTGATGGATGCTACACAAAAACAACACTAGGAATTATAGTTAATGCCACAGAACTAACCTTTGCTCTAAAATACATTCAGCCAAGTATTCACTATGTGGTGGACCTGCCTTCCGAAAGAAAGAAACACCACCGTTGAGTTCTCAGAGGATATATTCCTTCTCTAGGTAGCTCCTTACTGAAGTTTTGAGTTACGATTTAGGATTTCCAAAATTTGACTGACAAAAGCTCAGTGTCCCACGCTCCATGCTGATGTCATTCATTTCTAATATTAGCGGCAGAGCAGCTCAGGTTCACCTGGGAAAGAGGAGCGTTTATTTTGAGTTAAACAGGAGCAGATACTAAAAATGAACATGCTGAGACTTCCTTCTGGTATATCTGACACAAATAAAAGAGTTAAACCCAGGCAATGAAACTAGTATTTTGAATAAAATAGAAAAGGGATTCAATCGAATTGGAAATTGGATGTGCGTACAGAGTTTTTTTGTAGCCTCAACTGTGCAAATGCTGAGGAATTAAGAAATAAAATGAAAATCTATAAACTATTTGTTGTACAGTGGCACACCAAGATCATAAAGTGTTCATGAAAATTCCACATGGGTGAGATAAAGAAGATTCCAGGGCACCTGGCATAGCCCAGCATGATGTGTTAACTTGACCATTATTGGTGGTATAGCCACACAAACAAGCTTTGGCATAATACGTTGTACTCATTAGCTCAAATGCATCCAGTATTTGGGCTATTATCCAGCAGAGCTTAAATTGATCAACATATCTGGACAACTGCCACATAGACACAGGCAGAAGGATATGATGAGCCATTTGCAATTGCAGAAATTGTGTTGGAATTCCATGCCCTGAGCTGGAGGGAGGTGGAGGGAGCTGGAGGGAGCTAATTCCTCCTACCGTCTCCATCTGCAGAGGGAGAGGCATCATCGTGCGCTGAGAGAGCTTTATGAGGTAGGAGTCTCACAAAGATACCAAGCTCTAGACAAAATCAGGGCAATGGATGTAAAGATCACGTATGGCTCCTGCACAGAAAATGCCTCTCACTTTAAAAGCAACCACCTGGCCCTGCTGGTGTGGCTCAGTGGGTTAAGCATCCTCCCATGGACTGTGATTCCCAGTCAGGGCACATACCCAGGCTGTGGGTTTGATCCCCAGTATGGGGCGTGCAGAGGCAGCTGATCGATGTTTCTCTCTTACATTAGTGTTTCTCTCTCTCCCTTCCTCTCTCTACAAAATCATTAAAAACATATTTTAAAAATAAAAGCAACTACCTGAATATGGTAACCATTCCTTCTAGGGTGAAGATATTTTTTTTAAGAGTTGAAGGAAATAAAAACATGAAGGCTCAATGTGGGACCTATTACCACGACATCATATTTGTCTGTCACTGAACTTTTCTAACAGTGAAAAATTTGCTAAGGCTTTCATTCCAGAAAGCTAGCCTGGGAATTTCAATAGCAGTGGCAAAAAATGGGCCACGTTTAGTATTTGCTACTTTGCAGTTTGTTTTTGCTGACGATTTTAAGTTTCTCCATTTGCTCCTCCAACTCATAGCAGAGTGATCACTATCTTCCTAAGTCACTGTCATAGGAAACAGGGAAGGTCTCCCCACCTTGTGTGCAGAAATGTCGCTCAGTAAGTGCCCAGTGACATAATCTTTCCCTATTTGAGTTTGTGATAAAAAATGTCATGCTCCACATAGTTTTCTCCACCATGTCCCTCCTTCCTGTGTTCTCAGAATCACTGAAAGATAGTAAAACAACATAAAAATCCTCACCTAGAATCCCCCCCCCCCCCCATGACAGCCACATAGTTGTGCAAATAAAGGCCCTGGGCCTGGTTCCTCTCTGTATCCCCATGGCCTGGACATTGCCTGGGCTGGTCTCACCTCTCCATAAGTCTTTGCTGACTCATCAATGTTGAATAACTCTATGTGCAAGACTCCTATTCACACTTACATATATACACTTCTTGTTTTGTTTCGGTGTTATCTTTTTTTCTCCTCACTATATAGGTTCTGCTCTTAATTCCCATCCTTAAAATCAGTAGACTTTTAGACTATGAGAAAGGTCTTCTGGTTGCACATCCTGTAGTTTTCTGAGAAACTATTAAAAGAATCCTTTTTTGACATACAATTGTAATTTTAAAATACAAATAAATAAATAGATAAAAGATCAATTTATTATGCAAATTATTTTCATGGGAGAGGTCTGGTTATTTTCCTCTTGGCACAGTAGTTCAGAATATTTTTCACAACCATCTTTATGCAAGAGTTTCCTTCCAGGTGGACATAACCAATTTCTAAGGGGAAATTTAGCACTATGTCTGTGAGAAGGTGAGCAGAGACAGAAAGCACCAGAAATAATTATGGCTTCCAGTTGTTTACTGTGCAACACTTTAGCAGACATTGTCATGTCCCAGCCCCACAACAGCTATGCTAGATGAATGGTACAGTCGTTATTATCCCATTCTAGTAATGAAGAAATGGAACCCCACAGGAAGGACATGCCTTCTCTAAGGTTACCTGGCTAGTTGCAACAATGGGACAGAAACCTGGGTCTTTCAACTCTTTGCAATGCGATGCGCTTTAGAATATGCTATGAAATTAAGTGTGTTGTTCAGGTGAATTTATAAACAAGAACAATAAGTAGAGAAAAGAAACTGATGCAAAAACTAGAGCACTAATTACTAACTCCAATCCAGGGAGGACCTGGCGGAGCGGAGCTGTGCTGCCGTTGGAAAAGTTTGCATGTGCTGTTTTGTTTGAGGATCTGACCAGAACATAAAAGATGTGTGTACTTGAAATATCAGGAGGGGTCACTTTGTAAATTATATGATTATCTAATTGATACAAAAAAAATATTGAATGTAAACTGCAATTGGAAAAGTATTTTTTTTTAAAGGGGTGCAATTTTCTACCATGTTTCAATTATTTAAGCTTCACCTCCTCACATTGGACCCATACAAATAATAATCATCATCATCATCCTCATCATCATCATGAGGCATCCTCTCTCTGAGAATTCAGTTTCTTCTCTGACAGCAGTTAGGTGACAGGAAGATGGGTTGGGTCTTGGTCTCCATGGACATAACTCACAATAAAGACTAGAGTGCCTAGTTCTCTCCCTGTTTAGAGAGTGGAAATATATTTCCTTTCCCTGGTAAACTTTTAGGGTTGAAAAGCAGAGGTGTTGATGAGGAAAAAAAGAACCATTTAAAAAGGACTATCTGGCTTCCTTATAGCCACTTTATGTAGCATTTATTTTTAAATAATCTAAATTAGTTTAAATAGCCTAAAGAATTTTGTATTTGTCCCTTTAATAATCCCCCTACACTATGATAATACTGTTTTAGAGGTTAGTTTGGCAGTTACTCAGCCCACAGATCATGTTAAGGGTCCTCTGCGGGCAGGCCCCGCTGATGAATGATGAATAAATAATGAATGACTGTCTGGCGAATAAGATAGATAGAGCTCTCGGCCTCAAGGAACTCACATTCTAGAAAGAAAGCAAAAGACAATTGTAAGCAAATTAATAAAAACCGTGATTCAGGGCTGAAAAGCTGCATTTGATGGGGACATTTGCTCTGTTGCTGAACCTGAGCACGTTTGTGATAACCTAGTGCCCAAATTCAGATGAATGAGAGGCTCTCCCCAAGGCCACAGCCTGATTCTGGGGCTCTGACTCCAGTCAAGCACAATGCGAATATTCATGGTTAGTCTGCCTGGTGTGGCTCAGTGCATTGAGTATTGTCCTGTGGACTGAGAGGTCCTGGTTCAATTCCCAGTCAGGGCACCTGCCTGAATTGTGGGCTCAACCCCCAGTAGGGGGCGTGCAGGAGGCAGCCGATCAATGTTCCTCACTCATATTGATGTTTCTATCTCTCCCTTCCTCTCTCCGGACCGCAGGCCGACGCTCTAACCGCTGAGCCAAACCGGCCAGGGCTCCCTTCCTCTCTCTAAAAAAATCAAAACCTACTCTAAAAAAAAAGAGAGAGAGAATATTCATGATTAAATGCATACAGTGTCAACTAACAAAACAATGACCACATGTTACTTTATTTTTATTCCAGGAATCTTGGAAAATCAGGACTCAGAGTTTCTTGCTTGGGTCTTGGTAAGTACTCAGGCGTCATGTGGGGTGGGCCGGGAGGTGGGAGATGGGGGAACATACCCGGGAGTGCAGGTCAGGACCTGGCCTAAGGTGAGAAGGGACTCCCTGCCCAGCATTGCCCCATTCCTCCTTCTGACCCTTCCCTGCCCAGCACAGCCCTCTCCCTCGGGCCCAAGGAGCCACTGTGTCCATGATGGTCATGGGGGCCCATCAAACAGAAAGAAATCTGATACTAACGCACACCCTAGAGGAAGACTCACGTGTTACTTCTATTCAGCAAATGTGAAGAACCTTGTGGCATCATGTGTGCTTAGCCTACCTGCAGCAGCATCTGAACTTCTTCTCTCCTTGTGTTCTCTTTGCCTAATTCTTTCTCTTAGTTTTCTATATTGTTATGTATTTTAGATTTTAGATACTTTGTAATCTACCTCAATACTTTGGGGACAAGGATATGTGTGTGTGTGTGTGTGTGTGTGTGTGTGTGTGTGTCTACACACACACATGAAAGTTGGGAGGAGAGTTTCTTGATTCCTATTGAACAGAAGTGTGTACCAGGGAAGGGATGACAATGAATAAAAGATAGTGGCAACTAATTCTGCCTCCTTCCACTGTATTTCAAAGATATTAAGGTTATTAAGGATATTAAGGTTATTGAGGCCTAAGATTTTTTGATTCTTTCTAATGATCTGATTTGGGAGCTAGGGTGGTCTTTGTTCACCTTAAGTCTAAGGGAATTTGACATTTACTTAATTTATAGCTCCAATCTTGTTAACTTTCACTTCTGTTTGAAAGGAGATTCACTATCAGGGATCATATAACCTTAGTTATATGAGAATATGCTTTATGGTAAATAATTATTCACTATCTGTTATTGAAAGAAACCACCTATAAATGTAAATTAAAAATATAATAATTTAAGAAATATAGTAAAAGATCATTGACCAATTATCTCATAGAGTCAGTATCTATGACAGAAAATAATTTAGTCAAAACTACATCGGAAATTCAACCAAAGGCCCTTAAGAGTATTAAAAAAATTCAGGTGTCCATGAAGTGCCACAGGTAAATGAGTCTCCAGAGGGCAGACAGCAGATTTTTAAAAACCCTGTGTGTGAGCTGCAGGGGTGACTTTGAAGCAGATGGTCCAGGAGCAGAAGTCCTGACTTAGCTCCCAGTTTCTCTGAGAGCGTGAGCACTTGTGATAAGACGCTGCATGAAAAATAGGAGGAAACAAGGAAGTTCATGGGCTGACTGGCTTCATTCAGAACAAGTAACAAAGCTGGACAGCTTTGCTTTAACAGCTTCTCTGCGCTACCTCTCGAAGCCAGAGGAGACAAAAATGTCAGAGAAAGGAAGAATGCACCTGCCTTGGATCATTTACTAGGCTCTGCAGACCCCAGCTGTCGAATCCAGGGGGAGCCAGGGTTACTGCTGTGGGTTTGGGATGTCAGCAAAACACAGCCCATGTTCAACTGAGGCTTTGGAAATTAAGTATCAAATGTTCCAAGCAATCGTACAACTATAGATGTCCTTTATTGAAATACTCTAAAGGCCATAGTTAACAATTCTGACTTTCTTCTCTATCAGAGGACCCGATGGGAAACTTGCCTGACAAGCTTTCTTTTAATAAACTAAGAGCAGGTGTAAATGAGAGCAGGCAGATGAAGTAACTCGAGGACGAACTGAAAACGTCTGAAGGAACACAGCTCTGCTCACAAGAGAAACAGGGAAAAAATTAAGTGGCCAAACCCACCTGTGGGTTGCTGTGGTTGGCCTGGTTTATAGATATACTGACAACTGCTATTAAGACTCAAAGTCTAAGAAACTGATGGGGAAAGAGTAAATCCACCAAAGAGTGACTGAAAATCATCCCAGTTTAGTGGGAAGTAGGATCATCTTCTCAGAGAGGAAGAACACAATTTATGTATGTATTCATTCATTCATTCTGAGCAGACATTTAGGGAACCAGGCATTGCATTGGTTATAAGGGATACCAAGATGAAAGCACAAGGAGCCTGCTTCAGGTTGCTCCTGGTGTAGTAGGAGCGAGGCAGGCAAAAACAGTGTATCTGACAGTGCCGTAATGGAGAGTCCAGGATGAACCACACACAAGGAAGGTCTCCTGTGGAGTCTGGGACAGCTTCACAGGGAAGGTGCTATAGAGTTGAGACTTGAAGGGAGTCATCAAGCAGAGAAGGAGGTGGAAAAAGAAGGTGAATAATTCAAGATAGAGGGAGCAATCCAAACAAAGGCCTAGAGGGAGACCCCCAGAGCAAGAGGAACTTGGGGAACCACTAGTGTGTGTGCAGAATATTGTGAATGCACGGTGCTCGGAAACCTTAAGAAATGAGCCAGGGAGGAAAGCTAGGCCTGGTGGAGAAAGCCCTTGTTCGCCTTGCTAAGGCATTCAGCTCTCGGCTTCTAGGTCTCTGCTCTCCCGCTGAGCCCTACAGCCCCAGGTCTCGGGAAGGCTTGGAGGACGAGAGACAGACACCGCTCCACCTTTCTCCGCCTCCGCCTTCCATTGCCACAGCTTCAAAGTAGCGCTTCTCCTTAATGTAAACATAACTTTTTTAAATGTAAAATTTTTAATGTAATAAGTAATAAATGACCATTTTTAGAGCAGTTTTAGGTTTGCAGCAAAACTGAACAAAAAGTGGAGAAAGTTCCCCTTCCACCACATACACACATGTTCCCCCACTATCCACATCCCACACCAGAGCGGTACGTTGGTTACAATTTTACACTGACACCTCATTGCCCCTCGAAGATTATAGTTTACATTAGGTATACGTATAACTGCTGTTGTACATTCTGTGGGTTTGGACAAATGTATAGTGGCATATTTCACCATTATAGTAGCATACAAAATATTCACTGCCCTAAAAGTCCTCTGTGCTGTCTTTCAGCTCTCCCTTCCCCCTAGCCCCTGGGCAACCACTGATCCTCTTCCTGTCTCCATAGTTCTGCATTTTGCCGAATGTCATATAGTTGGAATCATGCAGTATGTGGCCTTTTCAGATTGGCTTCTTTCACTTAGTAATATGCATTTAAGTTTGCTCTATATCTTTTTATAGCTTAATAGCTCATTTCTTTTTAGTACTTCACATTACATTTTGAAGGGGGTTAGGGCTTGGGAAGCATCCTTCTGCCAAACAAAAGTTAAAACTCTGCTCTAGCATGGGGGAAAAAAAACACTTAAAAACTTGGATCAGAAGTAGGACATGATCAAATGTATTAGAATTGATGTCTGGCAGCAATACAAAGGCCGCATTAGAAGGGGGAAGGGCTGAGACCAGAGACAGGACAGATGATGAGGCAGTGGTACTAAAGATGGACCAGAAGGAGGTGATTATCTAGGAGGAAAAATAAATGGGACGTGGTGACCTTGGGGTACAGAATGAGAGGTCTCCCTGAGTAGAGGATGCCTGGGTTCCTGGACTCAGTATGAGGGGGGACACGCTGAAATCTCAGGAGGAAGGGCAGGAGGGAGGATTTGGACAAGTGGGAGCGGTGTGGGGAATGGTGATCGGAGTGCCGGTGAACTTCTGTTTCGGGAACCCTGAGAGAGCTCTGGGCTGGAAATAAAGACTTGGGAACTTCTAAGAGTGGAGAACCTGGGGTTGTCCTTACGATCACCTGCATACACAGAAGGTTGAGATAGTTGCCCAGGTTTAGGATATCCACCTTGTGGAGTGTGCCAGACAGCATTCACCCCGAGAGCAGAGACCACCTCTGCTTTTTCTGCACCCCTATTGTACCTTTAACAGATCACAATATCTGGCGAGTAGTAGGTGCTCAAAAATATTTATTGAATGACTATCTGTATAGACGGATCAATTGCTATGGAATGACAAAAAGCACCCTGGGTAACAGTGAAGATCTAGCAGAGGTCAGAAGTCATGAATTGCTGAGGTCCACCAATCCAGCTCTTTGGTCTTCTTCAGCAGCATTTCAAGGGGAAACAGAGAAGGCACGCAGAGGTGGGAGGTGGGGAGAGGAGACAGATCAGCCCAGCATGGAGCACTGTCCCCGAAGCGGCCGGGGACCGGGTCCACAGCACGCACCTGCCCTGGAGTCAGGCTGGGTTGGCCCGCAGCCCTCTCAGCAGAGCGCTCAGTACTGCCAGTACTGCCATTAGAAAGGCATCTGCCCACCCGAGCCGCTCCGCAGAGTCCGCACGAGGAGCCGGAGGACCGGCTGATTCACAACGTGGGAGGTGACGCGCCTCAGGGGCAGCTGCTCCTCCCCAAGCTGGAAAGGGGCTGACTTTACCCGGCTGTTCACTCGGATGTGCGCACGTCCCTCCAGACAAGACGAGAAAAGGGGCGTGTGATGGTTAATTTTATGTGAACTTGACTGGGCCGTGGTGTGACTGGACATTTGGTCCAATTATTCTGGGTGTGTCCTGGGGTGTTTTTGGATGAGATTAACATTTGGATCAGCGGACTTAGTAGAGCACCCCCCCCCCAAGTGGGTTGGTGGCCGGCCCTCATTCAATCATAGTTCACAATGGCTGACCCTCCCTCCAAAAAGAGGGGACTCTTCCTGCCTGACCACTTGGAGCTGGAAAGTAAGACTCGTCTGGCCTTTGGACTTGAACTGAAATACTCTCTCTTACTGTGCCTACCAGTCATATCTATACAAATATATTTTATTTTTATGTTATAATATATTACATATAATTATATAGAAATGTATAAATATATTTATATGTTAAAAGATATATAATGAGTTATGTTAAAATTATAAGGTTCTATTTCTCTGAAGAACCCAAACTAATAAAATCACTTTGCTAGTTTCTCACAACACCGTGCAGGTGTATGTGGCAAGCTGGCAGGTGTTTCTGGGAAGGATGCAGGAGACAGGGGGACGGGGAGAGCTCAGATGATGGGTATGTGGTCACGTGCTCATTTTCAGCTGAGCCCGTATTGCATCTCGAGGAGAATGCCATCATCCCTGGAGGAGTCCTGTGCTGTTCACTGGTCAGGAAGGGCATTTTA